TGTAATCATGCTTCATAAATGCATATTAGGATATGGAATATTTGGAGTTTAGGTTCACTTCTTTAAGGTCAGAAATCAGCCAGAGATTTCAGGCTGAAGACCTCAGAACCGAGGGGGCAATGTTTGGGCTCAAAATATTAGTTTAGGCCGAGGTGGGAATTATTCTCGGCCCGGAAGTGGGTTGTTTAGTTCATGGGCCGTTTAGTCAAAGTCGGCCGAGTTTTATCACGAGATGTATGGACATGTAATTAGATCCTAATGCAATAAGGAGTCTCAGCAGGATAAGGACGCTGACAACCTGGAGATGAATACAGTCTAATAAAAGGTTGAGTTCAGAGTCCTAATGAAAGTAGGATTGGCCAAGATAGAATTGGATTGGAATGAGGAGTCCTAATCCCAGTATGGTTTTAACTCGATTAAAGGATGGTCTGCTGCTATAAATAGATGAGGCTGTGCATTATTGAAAACCCCTCCAACTTCAACAAATAAATCTGCCATGCGCAAACTCTCTCAACAACCTTGAGATTTTTCTTTTCTTTTTTTCCGCCAACACATCTTCAGTTTGGATAAACAGCACTGTAGAGGCAACCGGTGATATCTTTAGTTGACATAAACGGCACTGTCACCGTAGAATCAGCCGATCTCGGAACACCTTCAGTTGGCATAAACAGCACTGCGTCGAGGTCGGCTGGTTAACTATCTAAGTCTCGGTCGAGAAGGACTTTCGAGTCTTTATTGGCAGAGGTCTTCTCATTAGCCTTCTCGGTAAAGTGAGGTGTTACAGCTTATTAGGCTCGGCATGTTGAATGCCGAGTTATTTTATGATTGGATACTCGCAAATAGGATTTAGAGTTTGGCATTCTGACGGCCGAACCACATTCACCATCAAGACTTATATCTGCTTTGAGTATTTGTGCCATTATACCCTAGTATCGATTCAGCATGAGTTCACTCTTACGAACACTAGCACCGTGATCAAATCCGATGCCGACAGCCCGTGAACTTCGTAGAAATAGCAGCCTTGTCTTCAGGCTCTAGAACCCAAAGGTCGAGAATTGTTCATTCCTCGGCCGCAATCGCAAGACACAGAAGTCAGCAGTGCACCCAACGCGACATCAACAAATTTTACTCACCGGCCGAGCTTGGCTGACGAGTTGGCATGCCCCGCTCACAACCGAAGGACGTAGTTAGCTCATTAGTTACTTGGCATGCGCGCCACGTAGGCTTGGTAGTTTTTAGGGTCAACAACAACACACTCCTTCCATCATATGAATGAGGTATAGTGTGTTAAGTTCTTTAAATTATGCCCAATTAGTTGGCCTATTTAATTTAGACCATGAGATATCCAATCAACTAAGTTAGGTTTCCATTCAGCTGATTTATTAGTTATGTTAGCTGATTTATTAGTTATGTTAGCTTTAATTGGTACCACTTAGGTTGATTAATTATCTCTTAGGTGTGCACACTCCATTTTATGAAATTTTATTTCATATGAAAGTAGTTGTTTTCGAATGTTAAGTTTGCAAAACATATGTTAGGACTTATTCAACAATTTGCTAACACTTGGAAAGTAGACTTCCCCCACATTTAAAGTATTTACAAGAATGTCTCTAACTTTTTCATACCTGGAAAATTACTCATTGCAATATATGACATCTCGATTGTTCTTTTCAGTAAACAAATTACTTTTTCATTCTTCTTAAGTAAATCTCATATCTCAAAGATAGGTAAGCTAACCCATAATTCTTCCATAATTTTGGTTAATTTTAATCTTATCGTTAAATCGACCATAGTTTATACTTTAAAGAGTAGGAAACGGTTAAGAGATAAATTCTATCTATCTTCTTAGGCTTTAATGCCTCACTATTTAGTTCTAGGCAAAGCACTTCTTGACTTTCATCCTTTAGCCTACTTTCAAATGGTCATGGGTCTAGAACCCTCACAAAGGAATGTCATCTCCTTTTGATTATAGGCTTTGGCCTGTCAAAGTGATTAATTATGCGAAGTATTCCCATACTTGATGTTTCTTTATTTCCCTCAGCATAGGTCTTGATCCCCACAATTTCATAGTCATCTTACTAAGAGGAAAGCAACTCCACCCAAAATTTGAAAGAATTTGGTCAACATGTCTCGAAACGTTCTAAATACTAAAATTAGTACTACGGGAGACTTAAGTGAAGTCTAGTGGGCCTACATTGGTTAGAGAGTGACTTGAACATAGGTGATATGATTATTACCTTGATTTCTTATATTGGTATCATTCGTGAATATAACTTGGTTTATAATGTGATTTTTATTGAAATGTGATTTTATATATTTAGACAAAGACCCATGTTTATTAAATATGATTTGGCTTGTGTACTGATGATGGTTGTGATATATGTGGGTTTAATTATTATTTTAGTCATGTGAATGATGTGTATAATTATTTTATGACAATGCGATCTTAGAATCATATTAGAAGTATTCTGTAGAACTTATATACTTGTGGGACATATTAGTTGGTGGCCATGAGAAGTTGATGGTGTAGGTGACTACGTTATAACTCATAGGGGTTGAGATATTGATAGGTTGTGTGTTGAATTTACTGCACCATGTAGCAGTGGTACATGGATGGTCTTGCTTGGTATATCCACGTTGGGGGACCATACGTATTTCAGGGGTGATCATGCTTGGTATATCCGCGTTGGGGGACCATACACATTCTAAGAGTGATCATGCTTGGTATATCCATGTCGGGGGACTGTTAGGGGTGACCATGCTTGGTATATCCGCATTGGGTGATCACTGCCTATGTTATTAGACTATGCATATAGTTATGCTTGGTATATCCGTGTTGGGGGACCATACGCATTCTAGGAATGGTCATGCTTGGTATATCTGCGTTGGGTGATCACTACCTAGAGTTAGGATACAGTCCTGCTTGGTATATCCGCGTTGGGGGACTATTAGGGGTGATAAGGATTAGTTGTACTTGGTACATATGAAATAAGTGATCATAGTTTTGTTGGATTCTGTTGAGTGGTCCGAAATCCTTGCTCTTGCTCATTTCCATAAGGTTAGTCTAGAACCCTAGATTCGAATGAGTGAGAATTACCCATAATAGACCTTGTGAAGATAAATTAGAATTACCATGTTTTTTACTTATAATCCAAGTAGGGAATTATATAGAGTTCATTAATTAAATTTGGGAAATTATATGTTATTTCATTGATTGATTAATGTAGTTAGATGTTAATATTGGGCATCTTTGATTTATGGAATTGATTAATTGACGTGATTGTGGAAGAACGTTGGGTATGATTGAGATTATTATGATTAGATTAGTTGATCATTGTGACTTGAGAATAATATTGTGCTTCGTTGGTTCTTGGATTTGTTACATACTCTGAATTGCGGTGTTATGTGAAGCACAGTGATTTATATGATGGATGAATTGGAAAGCATCTATGTGAGAATGGCTTACATGCGTGCATGGGAAGGTGGTAATTGTTGTTTGGCGTAAGGTTGATGTGTAGTGTGGTACTCTATGACTTTTGCTAGAAGTATTTTACGAAAAGATAAGAGTTTGACGAATGGTGAACTACGAATGGCTTGATCCCTATTGAGAGTACGTAGGCAGTCTAACGAAGAGGTTAGATGCAGCCAAAAAGTATATGAAAAATTACTACGCCATTTGGACCTTGAGTGGTGCTTTATTCATATCCCAGAGGTGGGGTATGCTAGATATACGGATACTAGATGTTGTCACATATCGATCCTGGATGTATGTCAGGATCGAGGCATGACAGTAATGGTGACAACGGAGGTACAAGTTGTGGTGGTCATGCTGAGATGGTGATGGTAATTTTAGTTGCGGCGATGGTGAGACAGTGAAGGTGGTGGTGGCTATGGTGGCAAGAGTGATGTTCGTTGAGGATATGGTAGTGGCCATGGTGGTGAGCATGATGTTGGTTGAGGATATGGTAGTGGCGACGGTGGTGGGAGGTGGTGGTGTCAAAAAATGGTGGTTGTGGTAGTGGTGGCAGGATGGTGAGACGATGGAGAATGTTGCTGTGGTGGTGGTGGCAGCATTGGTGATGATAGTAGTGGTATACAAGATTTTTTTTATTATTAAGACTCTAACTTTGTTTTATAATGTATCTTTTTTTTCTCTATTATTAAAAAAAAAAACTATTTTTGTAAAACAGAGAAAACATCAATTTGATGTTCTACAAAACTTAGGGTAAATATTGTTTTCCGCGTTCTTCCTTTTCCAAGTATATTTTCACAAAACAGTCTACCGAACGTATCTTTCACCCGTTTTTATATCTAAAAAATGAAAACCTATTTTGCAAAAGGTATTCTCAAGTCCATTCCTGTAGACCAAACGCCTCCTTGAGGCTTAGTGTAAATAAAACAATGATACGATTGGGTTCGTTTCTTTTTAGCATGATTTCATTACTCAAAGGAGCTTACATCTGAGAAAAGTATAGGAGATAACCAACTAGCTAGGTTCTTCCTAAATCCACATAATTTCTAACGAATGAATCTTCCTAGCAGTTGAATGAAGTTGCCCATCAACTCATCGATTTAGTCATTCACGTTCCCTCTGAATAGATGTAGTGTTTTGAAAAAAGCAGATAGATTGTTAATCTAGTGACAGAACCTTAGTCTCCGACTCTCTGGCCTCTGCTTTGTTGATAAATGAAAAAAAAATGGATAATCTATGAGAAAACAGGTCGAATTTGAGAAGGAAACTACTCCATCATCCAAGATTGCTTATAAGTCAATTGGAATCCATATCTTGTATGATGCAGCATATGAAATGAAGTTAAAGCACACCAATCCAGATCTTTTTTTCATTTAGCATTTAGCCTTTGGTTAATTTGTGGGGCAAAAACTTACCTACCTTCTGCTAGGCCCTTAGGCTTCCATGTACGCAAAATTAACCTAATATACAGGGTGTGCAAAGCTTGACCATTTTGAGACCTTCACAAGCCCAAAAAAGCAATAGCCAATTCAAAAGATAGGATATATAACAAGCTAATATTTAACAATCTCCACTTCCTATTGGATACACTCAGTTAGAAAGCCCAATAGAAATCAAGCAAATATTTAACAATCTCCAAAATAATAAGAAAATTGCAGACATGGGTGTACTGGAGTTGACTAGAGGCTCTAGTGTCTGCCCTACGGCTGGGCACGAGTTAGGCCCAAATTTGGAGGGACAGGACTGGACCTGTATGAAAACAATGGGATGGGTCGAGACGAGTAATGGGATTTCAAATTTTGGAACCGGACCTAACCCCCAGGTCCATGGGTCCTCGGCACAAAAAGGAACGAACTGAAGCCTGAAGGTTGTGTTCCTCGGCAAATAAAAGAGAACCATACAAACGCGTAGACCAAGATCCAAAGTATCAGATAAATCAACAACACATAGATTCCAAACATCATTCAACCAAATTATGCACGGGTAATCTATGAATTATTACCCAATTTCTATCATGAATCCCACAACATTTTATTCTTCTTCTCCGGTGAAGTGATTTGGGAGAAAATATTGGCACCACTTCTTCTAGATTTCTTCAGCCGTAGTAGTAGTGGTGAAACAAGAACCTTAAGCGATTCTTTGGGGATGGGTTCTTTGTTGGGATTGAAGAAAAATGCCTTAATCCTATTGTCGTTCCCCAAACGTAATTTTTTGCGGCTGCTGCTTTTGGGAACCTGTTGCTTCGGTGATGTCGATGGTTTAATAAACCCAGGGCCAGGCCACTGTTACCCAATTGTCAGTTACTCATCAAAATTGATTAGCAGATGAGTAAGAATAGGAAAAGAAACGTTCGAATCGTCAAATTATTCGCTCACCAGTGCACACAAAGGAGATTCACAATAAACACAGACATGTTGACCAACTTGAACTCTTGGTGTTGTCTTCTCGTGTTGATGGTTCAGGATTCTCGAAGCCGATAAACTTGTCGTCGGCCATGGCAGTCCAGTCCTGGATTGTGGCGATGAGGTCGTCGATCGAGTCAAGAGTGATGCATAACCGGCCGAGTCGGACCAGATTGGGTGGTCAGCAGCCGAGTTAAGCCCATCGTCTTCTCCGATCTGGAGCTTCTATGATGTCGACGCATTTCAAGGGGTGGGAGGGAGAAGACAACGAGAACACAGAAAGAAAGTAGGGGAAATCTGGGAGTGGGGGAAGAGAATTGAAAAGGTAAAGAAATTGTGAACGGGTCGGTTCGGGGCCCAGCATTCTAAAATTATGGAATCGTCCTGCCCTTATAGATACCCTCTACCCGCCCCGCCACGTTTTGTCTCTACCAAATTTGGCCCTGCCCCGAACCCATCCCGAATCAACAATACCCACCTCGACCCGTGGGTCATGTACCCGTTTGCCTAGCCCTAGTCTGCCCCATGTTTGAGCCTCATTCCTTGTAATTTCGATGAATATAGTGTAATTATCCTATCGCTATTAAAAAATTAAAAAAAAAAATATATATATATATATATATATATATATAATAAATCATCATAAACATTTCTAAATTCTTAAAAGAACAACTGAAACCAAACCAATCTCTCGCAAGCTTCATTTTTTTTGTTGTTGTTAATACTACAAGGTCAATTGCACTCTAACATTATCATGGAAAAATACAATATGTCAAAATGGACATGTAGCCAAACCTATGAAAAATGTGAGCCAAAAGTTCAAGTAATGCTTAAACTTCGCACCAACAATCTTAGTCAACAAACATATCAACGGAGTTGTTCTTAGTTGCAATCTTTTGAAAAAGAAAAATGCTTGGGAGACCATCTCTTTAAACTACATTTCGTAAATCACATGATGTGGCAATAAAATAAGAATTCATAATTTAATTTCTTTTTAAAGACCAAACCGTCAACAATTACATTATGTGGTTAAAAAAATATGGTTTGAAAAAATAATCTCTCTAACATTACCTTTGAAGAATTATGTGTACTTTAACTACAATGTCTATCATGCTGAACCTCCAAGATACTAGCAATTTGTCTATCATAATGAACCTCCACTTGGTTTACATCAACCCCAAAATAACTTATAAGTCCATCTAGCCATAACAAACACATTTTATGTGGTAGACAAAGCTAAATAAATTCCTTTATAGGCTATGCAGTAGACAATGCTACAGAGGACAAAAAAATGGACCTCTATAATAAGCACACTTTATGTTTTATGTAGTAGACCTTCTTTTATCTAAATTACCTGAATAATAACTCTAAGGTGTTTGTATAGTGGAAAGTGAACAAAGGTTTAGAACTCTCAACTCGAGCTTGAACTTCCATGAATTCATGTTTTTGGGTCACCATTCTGTTTTAGCATACTGTTTGACTCAAGGGCCAGAAGTACATTGCTGCCTCTTTGTATTACCGTAGCTGCAAAGATTAGTCTACCCGATGTGTTGTGAAATACCTTCTATATTTGAAAAAAAAAAAAAGGGTAAATTACACAGTAGCCCCTCAGGTTTTGAGGTCTATTACAACCTCATACAACAACTTTAAAACATTTCACTTTCATACCTCAAGTACTATTTTATTTCAATATAATACATCCATTAGATTTTCCATCCATTAATCTGTTAAATGCTGACGTGGCTGCCAAATGTGTGCCATGTGGCAAAAAAAATTTTAATTTTTTTTTAAAACTGAATTTTCTTAAAAAAAAAAGCAAAAGTTGAAACAAATGCCCGCAACCCCCCCAAACCCAGGAAGAAAAAAAACCTCCCTGTCGATTATTCCCCCCACCCTCCCCTCTCCCCCTCCTGCTGCAGCGACTGACCCCCACCATCCCTCCTCCTCCTCCTCCTCCTGCAATTGACCCCCACCCTCCCCCTCCTCCCGTGACTGACCTCACCAATTATTCCCCCATCACCCCACCTCCATTCCCGATTACCCCCCCCCCCCACACTCAGAAACCCACATCTCTCCCTCCGCACCCACCCTCTTCCCTCCTCTACATACCCCACTCCTTAAATCCAACACCCATTCCTCCCATCTTCACCTCACGAACTCGGAGTAAACGAGATTTGAGTTTTTTTTTTTCTGGGTTGCAGGTGGGGGGTTGGGGGAAGAAGATGAAGATGGGGGGAGAAGAGAAGGGAGGAAGAAGGATGGAAAGATGAACTGATGGGGTTTTTTTTTCTTTTTTTTTTCTAGGTTGCAGGGGGAAGAAGATGAAGATGGGGGAGAAGATAGGAGGAGGAGGAGGGGTGGGGAAGACGAACTGAAGGACTTTTTTTTTCTTTTTTTTTTTCTGGGTTGCAGGGTAAGAAGATGAAGATGGGGGAGAAGAGATGAGAGGAGGAGGAGGGGAGATAAGGTTTCTGGGTTTGGGGGTCGCGGGGAGAAGAGAGGAGGAAGAGGGGGATAAGGTTTTAGTTTCTTTTTTTTTTAAATTTTAATTTAGAAGATTCAAGTTTTAAAAAAAATAAAAAAATTATTTTTTTTGCCACATGGCACACACTTGGCAGCCATGTGGCACAAACGTGGCAGCCACGTCAGCGCTTAACGGATCAATGGATGGAAAATGTAAAGGAGGTATTATTTTGAAATAAAACAGTACGTGAGGTATGAAAGTAAAATGTTTTAAAGATGTTGTATGAGGTTGTAATAGACCTCAAACCTGAGGGGTTACTATGTAATTTACTCAAAAAAAAAAACTTAGAATATTCTCAATGGAGATAAACAACAACAAAGTTTTCAATGTCAGGATTAACTCACTAACAACACAAACAAACATCTCTACAATGAAGATGCCTCAATATTTATTGATGTTTTTTTTACCAGAATTATGCATATAACGACTCACCAAACCGACTTCATGAGAAATATATGATCTAGAGACAAGAGCATAGTATTGCATACATCAAACACCAACCAAATTAGAATATGACATATTTGCCATATGCAGCACCTTTCTTCACTAGTTTTAGGAGATAGTAAAGAACTCGATTTAAAACGATAAGCTAAAGAGGTACTTACCAGTTTGATTGAATATTAACTCTAAATTTCAACAACAATTTTTCCAGGTAAGCTTATGATCAAGTACACCAAACCCTTTCCTCTCTCACAAGTGATCTCCATGCCAAGGATCTTCTTTTGCTTCACCAAGATCTTTCATCTCAAACTCATTCTTCATTGTGACATTTCATAAACTCATCAAATCTCAAACACCCTTGTCTCAAAGTTAATTCAAGCCATAAAGAGATTTCTTCAATTTGCAAACCAAGTTCTGTCTCCAATTTAATTTATATCCATCTGGTAGAGACGTGTATTTTTTCATCTAAATCACAATGTAGAAAGACGTCTTAACATCATGCTGAAGAGAGTTACAAAAATTAACATAATACAAACTGATGAGTACCACAAGTGATAAATATTCAATGCCCTCCTGTTATCTTTAGCAACTAATTTTGCTTTTAAATCGTCCATATTTTTCACCGCAACACTTTTCTTCTTGGTATATACCTTGCAACCAACAGCTCTCTTGCATACCCTTGTCAATTGAGAAAACTCCCCATTTCTCCTTTTATTCACTCTCCATGGCTTCCTAAAAGTTAGATGAAATTGGATGAAATTTGGACAGGATCATAGAAATAGAAAAGGCAATATAATCATTATAACTAGTTGGCTTGATTATATTCTAATAAGAAAAGAATTTTCCATTTCTTATTAAAAAATAATAAGATTACAGAGAGTATATATACAGAAAGCTTGTTGTACACACTTGTACAAACTAGATTCTAACAACTAACCAACTATTGATAGTTGTAACTAATCTAACCAATTACACATCAAATTAAGATGTATCTTTGACTTTTTTATCCTTAATATGCCCCCTCAAACTGAACTAAGGAGCTCGAAGAGAAAGTTTGCTTCTGAGAAAAAAAAAATCGAGGCTTTGACAAGGATTTAGTACAAACATCAGCAATTTGATCCTGAGAGCAGATAAAGTGCACAGAAAGAGCTTTGGAAATGACATGTTCACGGATATAATGATAGTCAATTGCAACATGCTTTGTTCGTGCATGAAACACTGGATTTTTAGCTAATGAAATTGCAGAGATGTTGTCACACCATAGTTGGGGAGGTGCTAGAAGTATGAGACCAATATCAACTAACAACTTACAAATCTAGGTGAGTTCTGCAGTTGTGTTAGCCAAGGATCTATACTCTGCTTCTGTAGAAGATCTGGCCACTGTTGGTTGCTTTATAGCACTCCAACTGATGAGAGAATCACCCAAATATATGCAAAAACCACCAGTACTTCTCCTGTCAATAGAACACCTTGCTCATTCAGTATCAGAATAAGCATGAATACTGAGAGTTTTAGCACATTTGGGAAACCAGAGACCTAAATCAAGAGAGCCCTTGAGATATCGCAAGATCCTTTTAACTGCTTGAAAATTTGAGTGTCTGGGACTATGCATAAATTGACACACAAGGTTGACTGCAAAGGATAGATCAGGCTGAGTCCATGTAAAGTATTGCAAACCACCAACTAAAGCTCAATACTTGGTTCCAAGTCAAGTCAAGTTAATATATTCCTCATTTAATCTATTCTTTGAGACAAAGCGTGGTCTTCATCTTCAAGAGAATTCTCAAGTTCAATTTCATCATCATCAGTTTTTATCTTCTTCTTCTTCACTTATAAGGAGGAAATTCGGAGTTTGATATATATGAAGAACAGTTTCTAAATTATGATTGGTGTTGTTTTTGCTTCCATTGTTCTTATGTATTTCGTTCTCATCCACAATACACTACACCAAAATAGCATCGAAGAAAGCGGACATGGTGGGGAATATAAATAAGGGCAATCAGTAAAATTCATGGGCTTCATAACCAAATTATTATAGTACGTACGATTGAGCTTCAATAGAAAAGAAATCATTAAAATACCTGGAATACTTTGTCCCTCCAATGAAACACACTGCCACGGCCTTCCATGTAGTCAACAATATATTCTGGAAGTAATGGTTTCAAGGATGTGTGAAGCTTGACATTTGTTAGGCCTTCACATGCCAATAGGGAAGCAGCAGCAAGGCCATTTGGTACTGGCAAGATATAAGAGAGCCTATCTGTAATTGAATAATGACATGCTTAACAGCAATATCAAGAAATGAATCCCTGGTATTTATGGCCTCAAACTACCGATGTCTTGCATTAATGGAAACTCTTTTGATGTAGCGAGTAATATCTCCTGTCGTTTGCTATTCATGAATTCTTGTATTTTAGGTATTGCTTTCCATTCATACATAATGTTTT